CACGTGCCCAAACCTCACCGGACACGTCAGCCTAACACCTAAAAACCCGACGATACATAATTTATAAAACAAGAATAAGATAGAAAGATAAGCGGAAGTCTTTAAATAAACTCAACATAACCCCATAATTGGTTGTCACATGTACAAACCTCTAATACAGAATCTGAATAAAATATACAAGTCTCATAGTAAAGTTCTAGAATAGAACAGAACAGTAAATATAGATAACTTGAGGGCACGTCTGGAATGAACCGCTACCTCTCAGGTAAGTCTGGAAGCTCTAATCTGAAGATGAGTAATAAGCCGGATCTGATAGAGCTGTCAACCTACATAATTGTGTAGAAGCAAGGGTGAGTACCAAAAGCAACAGGTACTCGCAAGTAACACTAAACTAAGCTAAACTAGTAGCTACAAACAACTCATTTTAATCCCAACCGAACCACCGAAACTTCATTCTAACAGCGAACCAACAACCTATACTACACAATTCATAATCAACAGATATATCCAACAGTGTCTCAGCATCAACCTCATATCCTCATGTAAGAGCAAATAGATCATATATCACATGAAGAGGGGCAAATAGAAAAAATCCACACACCACAGACAAAGATGAAGTCAAATGCGATGCAAATGCAATAATGATGTCATGTAGTCGTGATGCATGTCTGTCCTAAGATACACATCTGTTGACGTAATCAGACCGCACTGAATACTCAAATCAGAACCCATGGACCATATATCACCGCCGGAACCAGATCCCATCGGCATCCAAATCGCTAGCCGGAGCTAGTCCATGTCATATATCTCTCGCCGGAGCTAGTCCATGTCATATATCTCTCGCCGGAGCTAGTCTCAACTGTGTCTCATATCCATCCATCCTCATATCAGTGTCTCAGAACTCATGCAACAGATAGTTCACACATGGGATAAATAATGAATATGCACATGTCATCAATCACAATCATATCACGATCACATCATAGTATTACACATCATTTGTCTCAATCACAACCATATCACGACCACATCATAGTATTACACATCGTCTGTCTCAATCACAACCATATCACGACCACATCATAGTATCACACATCATCTGTCTCAACATCAATGTCTGTATCAATCATAGCCTACTCATGCCCTTCTATCCCCTCAATATCAGTTATCACATGACTTATTCAACAAATTCAAGTCACATATAACACATTTAGCTCGTTTTATTCCCCATCTTTCAATTACAACAATTTCAATCAACAAATAAAACCCATCCTCAATCCCCATTACTCCCCAACACAATTAGGAAAGTAGTCATGTGTAGTCTAAGAGTTTAACAAAGTTTAGAAGTCACTTGCCTCAAAACACTTCAACTAGTAACTCAAATCTGAGTTTTACCCTTCCGAGCACGCTCCAAATCACCACAATCTATTCATAAATGGCATCCCACAATCAATACGAATCTAACAACGCCAATATCGTGAAGTTTGGAGAAAAAGGGTAAAATGGTCAAAAAATCTCGTTCCGGAAAATATTCTCGAAATCTGGAAATTTTTAGTGAAAAATGTTCCCCATGAAATTTAGAATCCAATAGTGAAAACCGTTTCGAAAAAGGAGTTGAAATGAGTTCACAAACTAAAATTTTCTATTAAATTCGGATTGGGTTTTAACCCCCAAATTTTACAGTTGAGATCTCAAATTTTGATGTTAAAATCCATAAATAATTGATGGAAATCAAAGATATAAGTTGGAAATAACTTACCCAATGAATTCCTTGCGAAAAACCACTTGAAATCGCCTATTTTCGAGCTCTCAAAGTCTAAAAATGGAGAAATGGGTATTTTCAAGTTGTGGGAATTTAGCTACTGATTTTGGCTTTAAAAAAAGAAAGAAAAAAAAAAACTGCTGTTGCAGCTAAAAAAACACAGCAGCTGAAACAACAATAACACCAAAGTTTAAGTCCCCGTTGGACCCTCGAGATTCGTTCGGAATGTCGTGCACACAAACTAAATATGTACCCCCACTAAATTCGACGTTCCGGACTCAATGGAACCGTCGGAATTTGAATTCGAGGACTCCTTGACCCGAAATTCAATAAGATGCCAAGAAACTAGTTTAACGCCAAAAAAATTCGAAACTCAAACGGAGCGTCTAAAAATTCAACCAAGACTCATTCTAGACTTAGAATCGCCTCCCGAAACCAACGGTACTCTCGGAATTTCAATCTGAGCCTCGGAACCTCATATGTTGACCAAAGTCAACTCTTTATCAAAATTTCACAACTTTAGCAACTTAGGACCTCAATTCTTCGTTTCAACTCCAAATTCAACTCCGTAACTTCACACAGACCCGTTTCGACATTCTAAAACTGTCGGAATCGACGGAAATCCGATCCGAGTCCCGAAACTCCAAATAACTCGAAAAAACACTTTTTAACCAACTTTAACTCATAAAAACTCAACTTCTCAAAAACTCAACTTTTTACCAACTTTTCCTCAAACTAACTTTACAACCACAAAACATGGGACTCGGGGCAACTACCGAAAGGGCAAAATAGTCATTTCCACGAAAAATTACCAAAATGACCTTTCGGGTCATTACAAACCATCCCTTTATTCGGTGCTCGAAAGCCTACACATGAATTCTACCATCAATTACCAATATACTACGCAGTGAATCACGGATAACTACTCAATTAAATAAACCTAGCATACCTGGGCGCCAAGCAGTCGCAGAGGGATTGTAGCTCCAATCCTGGCTTCTGAACGACTAGAAGGTGGATTTTGACCGAAAATCCGCAAGCTATCGACATCCTTACACTAGAAATCTCGTTCAACGTCCTTCCCAAGCCTAGAGCAGCCTTTTCAGGGTTTTTGGGGTGATCCTCGCCTCTTTTTGGTGTTTTGGGAAAAAGGAGAAATTAAGACTTCACGTTATTTAAATTTTGTCCCGTCCTTCTCGCTTTGGCGCACACTATCCCGCTGGAGAGCCGCCACCCTAGCGACATCTGTCCCGCTCTGGCGGGATGATGGGCCTAGTTTTCCTTGACGTTTCGCCTTTCCTAAATAACGACGGTTTGGGTCGTTACTAAAGTTTTCGACTGGTCTTGTATAATGTTAGGGAAAACAAGACAAGGTTTCTTGAATTACGTCATCCGAGCCTAAAGTAACATTTAGATGGAGATGGTTATAGGCTTTATTATCATAAAGAGAGCTTAGTAACAATTAAGACAAGAAAATAGTGGGCTCCATCTTAGTCGTTGTTTGACAAGAGTGGTGTCCAAATATTAAATTTCAATAAGAGCTTTAAGCACATTGGATAACATTTACATGTTATTTATTTATGGTTCATTCTAGCTTCAATTAGGTGCAATATGAGATTATCGTGTGTAATAGTGTTTTTATACTCCAAGTTATTGGTGATTGAACCATTCTTTTGTCTTGTCACTTGTGTATAAGTGATTCAAAATTCATATATGTATATAAAAAAAATTACCTTGTCAATAAAAATGTAATTTTTTAGTCGATGAGGTTCACATAAACATCCTCCCGCTCCCTAGGTTCGTCCTTGTTTATAGGTTGGAGTAGGCGCCTAAACTTTCACCAATCTTTTATATCTGTATTGTTTTAAAAGTATAAAGGTCCTTATAAATATTAATTAAATTTTTTGTCATCCATCAAAATACTCTATAATAGACAAACTTATCATTTAGTTATTTTATAGGAACTAGGATATTGATATTAATGGGAAACATATAAGTTATATGTAAAAGTGTATCCTTATTTTGTTAGATTGATTTTTGGTAAATAAATTTTACAATAGATTATAGACAAAAGACTTTCCCCCCCTTTGTTTGTGGTAAATTTAATTGTATTAGAACTTCATAGTTAATAAAGGGAAAAAAATCTGAAATATATTCGAACTTTCATCGAAATTGTTGTAATAATTCCAAACTTTGTGCAGGACCTATTATCCCCTGCACTATTTTGTATTTTAAAAATATATAAGTGTCATCTGGACAAGTTACTATACATATTAATGTAATATTTATGATGTCCACGTGGGCACCTATATTTATATTTAAAATACACCATTAAATAGTGCAGGGGAGTAATAGATCGTGCCCAAAGTTTAGGATTGTTATAACAATTTCGGTCAAAATTTGGATATATTTCAAACCCTTTTCCCCTTAATAAATGAATCATGGAGGATACGTGAGCATTTTGCAATGGACTCTTATGGATTGCTTAGTGACATTAATTAATTCCTTAATAAAGAAGAAATTATGAGTGATACTATTTTTCTTATGGATTGATTAGTGACATTAATTATAATTCCTTAATAAAGAAGAAATTATGAGTGACACTATTGTCCTATTTGAAGTAATATAATAATTTTCTAATTAAAATAATATAATTTTAAAAAAAGTACTTGAAAAGAAAAAACTATTATTTTTTATTTAGAAAAAAAGATATTTCTCATCTATTAAACCAAAAAAACAATCAACTAAATATATTTTTGTTGATTTCATTAATGCCATTCAACACATAGTACTTGACTTGTTATTCATTTTTCTGCAACAGATTCCCGAAATTAAGGAAAGCAAAGTGTAAGTTTTCTTTTTTTAAAAATGGATTAATTTTTCAAAATTTATTTGTATCACATAAAATATTTTGGTTTATTATATTTAATGGATTTATATATGGTAGTTTTGGTATGTGCATACTGCAGATCCTATAAATACTCTCCTAACTGTATATATTTGTTCTCTGTTCTCACTGCCGCATCTCCACCCATAAAAAGCCTCCGCTTCATTCCTCCTCCGATTATCGTCGTAACTCCACCGTTCAACCACCACCTAACTACAAAAAAGTTTTGTCACTCAATGAATAATTGTGGGCTAACAGATCTGTTGAATTCAGAAACTAAACGCAAAGGTGTGTTTGATTTTGTTGATATCTCATCTCATTTGCTTTTCAATTTTCTGTGTTGGTGGACTTAGTATGGCTTATAGTAGGGCTTTTTCTGAAGAATCATTAAGAGAGATTCTACTGAGTTTACCTGTGACATCGTTGTGTAGATTCAAATGTGTGTGCAAAAATTGGGGCAATCTTATCAATAACCCTAGCTTCACTATAGACCACTGTAAGAAGAAGAAGCCTCCGCAACACTTGATTTATGATTATGATGCAACCGATGCTCCTACTGTCACCTTGGTTTCCGATAAGGGTATAGATGAACAAAAAAATTTTCAAAGATTTGGAGATAATATTACCAACTTGTTAGGTTCTATTGATGGTGTGTTTTTCATAGAAAGACAAATTGATAATGCCATTTTGTGTACATTATGGAATCCAGCTAACAGAGAGGTGAGACACCTCCCTGCCGCAACAATTGATTTTATACCTTACGATAAACACTATCGTGATATAGTGTTCGGATTAGAGCCTATGACTAAGGATTATAAAGTGCTTTACTATAATGCTTTGGAAGAATATGCAGCGATCTACTCATGTTCTAGGGATTCATGGAAAATATTCAAACATAACCTAGACGTAGACATAGAGGGAAATAATATATTTGAACGAGACATTTTAAAATCTACTGATTATCTGAATGGATATTACTATTGGCTGGTAAGGGAGAATAATAAATGTAGAATTGTTTCATTTGACTTTGGGAATGAGGTGTTTGTAGATATGGAAGGGCCACCAGCTGGTCACGAGGATTATCATTGGTTGGCGAATCTGATGGTGCTTGGTGACTCCTTTGGCATCTTGAACTTTGTCGACGGATTTGTTCATGATGTATGGATAATGATACAACCAGGCGTTTGGAACAAACTTGTGACCATTCATCTCACTACGCGTATTAAGTCATATTATGACAACTCTATCATTTTGGTAACTAAAAGTTCCCGACTGGTCTCATATAATGTTAGGACAAACAAGACAAGGCTTTTTGAATTTCGTCATCATGGCCTGCATTATTGTCCAGAGATTGGTGGTTGTGCGGTTTACTATTATAAAGAGAGCTTAGTAACAATTAAACGACAAGGGAATAGTGAGCTCCATCTCAATCATTGTATGACAAGGGCCACATATTAAATTTCAATAAGAGCTTAGAGCATATTGGATAACATTTACAGGTTCTTTAAATTCCAGTTAGGCCTGGGATTGGTTTTGGTCCCTTCTTGATTACTACCCATGCTTGAAAGTCATTTGATTGGACAAAGATTCTGAACCTGTCCTTCCAGTGGGAGTAGTGTTGGCCATTGAAGTACGGAGGACGATTTGATGAGTGACCGTCTTGAAGGATTGCACCAGGAATTTGGTAGTTTGCCATAGATCTTTTCTCACGTGTGGTTAAGCACTTTCAAATGTGAGACCTGCTCTGATACCAATTGAAAGTCAAGAGGGGGGGGGGGGGGGTGAATTGAAATTTTCTTCGAGTCGACTACTCAAGGGTGAGAGTCAACTGACCTGCAAGTTAGTAATTTCAAACGATATAAAATATAATGACAGAATGTAAAGAGACAGAAAACTTTATCCTGGTTCGGAACACCGATGTGGTGCCTACTTCCAGTCCCCTTGGGTTACAAGGGTTTCCTTAAGAGCTTTGAGTGAACTTGGTGATACAATGTTGGAGTATTCAGTACTTGTCTGATATGCAGATCAGATTTCTTATCTTGACGCAACCTCTACTTGTAAAACCTATACTAGAGATAATTCTTTCTCTTTTCTGTTACAATTGTAGACTAGACAGACTACAAGGTTTTTCTCAAAGATAAAAGAAAGCAACAATACAAGTTCAAGTGAAGTTCGTAATTCTCTATGCTGAAGGTGCGGATAATTTATATTGCTGGAGATGGATGATAATTCTGCTCTTCAAGGAAAACCCAAGGGATTTTCTTTCAATCAAGGATTTGTAAGGATTCCTTGATTGAGTGTAAACACGTCCATATCAGATATGTTCGTGTAAATATTCTCCTTCCTTATTTGTGAGAATCTGCCTTGTACAGATTATTGACTTTATGATTCATTAGCCTTGATTTGCTCCATGCTGATTCCTTCCATTTGAATGAGTAAATCTTTTGGATTTGTTGGCCTTGATTTGTTCCTTGCTGATCTGTCTTCATGATCCTCTGCTCTAAATATATTTCCTTCCATGTTTATCCTGTTGATGTTACTTTTCCTTTTTGTGAGTCCAACTGATCTTATGTCCTGCAATCATTATCAAAACATTAATGCTAACAATCTCCCCCTTTTTGATAATGACACATAATATAACTATGCGAGTGAATGTGATCATTTTAACTTCCCTGTTATTTGCTCCCCCTGTCTCTAGGCTCCGTTCTGCGCTTCCCCTGTTTGAGTGCATTTCTGTATTCTGCTGCGTATGGTTATATGACTTTTATTTCTCCCCCTTGGCATAATCAAAAAGGAAAACAAAATGACAGACAAGGCAGAGTTTGGTACCATAGATAACATACAAGATAATCACAGTTTTAGACAAAACAAGTTAAAGCAGTTTAAGATGAGGAGGACATATCCCTTTTGAATAAAGTCTGAGCAAAAGAGAGAAGGAAATAGAGTTTTCAGCGACGGCCAAGGAAATACTTGAGAGTGTTGAGAATGTTCCTGCAGAAAGAGTCGTAGGAACGTTCAACATCTTTTGAAAAGTTAGAGTACGAAGTCTGAACTGAGACAGCTAGCTCATTGTTCGAGGAGTCAACTCCTGCCTTGATGGAGACCACCTGTTTGATTAACCTGTTAACAGTCTTTACACCTTCCTTTTTCAAATCTTCCATTGCAAGCTTAATTTTGCTTACATCAGTGCTAGTATCCTTGCTGTGCTGAAGGCTCTTATTCAGACAGTCCTGCATGATCATTACATTTGATTCAAGACGGGTCAGACGAGTCTTGATGTCTCCAACTTCCTGGAGAAGAACTGATGCAGAGTCCGCTGACACTCGAGTAGCTTTGGGAGTTTCAGCCCTAGCCTGGAGGGATTCCTTCTTGTGCCATTTATCATTTACCAGAACATATCCCATACTTGAAAAAGTCTTAGTGTCATAAGTAGCATTGATTTCAACAGACTTGTAGTTAGATAGATCAACTAGTGAGTCGACTATGATACGAGAAACAAGCAACCCATAGGGTAAACTGGCAGAGGGATTTGAATCTTTAACACTTTCCAACATATATTCACGAATCCAGGCAGCCCAGTTAATACGGTACTTTTTTACCAAGCAGTAAAAAATGAATACATCTCTAGTTGAGATATTGCTAAGAGAGCCCTTTCGAGGAACCAAGGTTGTAGCCACAATATGAGCAATGATACGATTTTCAAAACATAACGACAGAGGACCAAAATTCGATAGATCAGTATTAGGTTCAGCAACTGCTACTTTTGCAGCTTCAAAAGAGACTTCAAAATTTTCAGGCCACACCCCATTCATATAGGGAACATCATCAAAGAACTCAGAGCCAAAAATGTCTTTAAACATAGAATCATTTATAACAATGCGACTTCCTAACACTAGGGTTTCCAGATCTCCACTATCTTCAGAAATACGAAGGTTAGCATAGAACAATCTGACAGGTTCTTCATAGAGTTCAAGACCACATAGGCGAAGCAACAGAGATAATTTTTGAGTTCTGAAAAGAGAGGTTACCGGACAGTGAGAATCTTCCAATTGTTCTAAGTTTATTACTCGTCCTGACACAATAGGACGCTTCTTGAAAGCTTCGAACTTTCGCTTTTGTTCAACTCCCCAAAATTTATGCATGTCCTCTGGTTCAAAAGAGATTGATGGATCTGAGCGAGCCTTTTTACAACTTTTCTTCTTGACTGATGAAGTCCTCTTCTTTGAAGAGGAGGGTCTAGCAGAGGATTCTGCTATATCAGAATTAGAGGAGAGGGAAAGAAGGTCAACCTCAGTGGAGCCGTGATCATTGACGAGATTTTTTGGAGCAGTCATTGAACGAGTTCTAGTCATGGTGGAGAGAAAAGAAGAAGAATGGGTAAGGAAGATGAAAGAGACTTAGGAGATTTTGAAGTTTAAAGGAAAGAGGAAGATGAAGGGTTAAGAGAAGAAGAAGAGACGGTAGTCAGAAAAAGAGTTGAAAAGACAGGAAAGGAAACACAATCACATCAAAGTACATAATTAAGGCAAGAAAAAAAATCACATAGCAATAATTCCTAAGGATTTTCTAAGAAAACAAAATCTTTCTTCAAGTAAAGGTTTAGTAAAAATATCAGCAAGTTGATTTTCAGAGTTAACAAATTCTAGAACGAAATCTCCATTTTCTACACTAGTACTTTTTCTATCATTTTTGTCACCTGCAAAATCAGCATCAGAAAATCCAGATAATTCAAAATTAGATGAGCAAGGATACCATAGTCCCATCTCTGAAGTACCGATCAAGTATCGAATAATTCTTTTTACAGCAGTGAGATGAGATTCCTTTGGAGCGGATTGAAATCTTGCACATTTGCACACACTATACATAATGTCAGGTCGACTGGCTGTTAAGTAAAGCAGTGATCCGATCATTCCACGATAAAGTTTTTCGTCCACGTCTTTTCCTGCGTTATCTGTTTCCAAACATGTGGATGGACTCATAGGAGTTCCGAAAGCCTTTCCTTTTTCCATTCCAAATTTTTTTATTAACTCCTTTGCATATTTGCTTTGGTTAATAAATGTTCCATCATGAGACTGCTTGATTTGAAGTCCAAGGAAAAATGAGAGTTCTCCTATAAGACTCATTTCGAATTCTCCTTTCATAAGATTTGCAAAATTCTCACACAAAGAGATGTTAGAGCTTCCAAATATAATGTCATCAACATAAATTTGAACAATGAGAAGACTTGAATTAAGAGCTTGCGTAAAAAGTGTAGTATCAATTTTTCCTCGTTGAAAATTATTTTTGAGCAAAAAGGTACTTAGTCTTTCATACCAAGCTTTAGGGGCTTGTTTAAGACCATAAAGTGCCTTAGAAAGTTTGAAAACATAATCAGGACATGAAGGATTTTCAAAACCGGGAGGTTGTTTAACAAAAACTTCTTCATTTATAAACCCATTCAAAAAAGCACTTTTTACATCCATTTGAAATAATTTGAATTTGTTAAAAGATGCATATGCAAGAAGAATTCGTATAGATTCTAACCTTGCTACAGGAGCAAAAGTTTCATCATAATCAATACCTTCTTGCTGAGAGTAGCCTTGTGCAACTAGTCTGGCTTTATTTCTGATAACTTTACCTTCTTCATTGAGTTTGTTTCGAAAAACCCATTTTGTGCCGATTACTGAACAGTTCTTTGGTCTTTTAATGAGAGTCCAAACTTGATTTCTTTCAAACTGTTCTAATTCTTCTTTCATAGCTTCAATCCATGATTCATCAGCTAAGGCCTCATCAATTCGTTTTGGTTCAATTTGTGAGATAAGAGCTACAGACACTTGTTTTCTAATGGAGGCTCTGGTTTGCATTTTCTCTGATGGGTTTCCGATAATAAAATCATTTGGAAAACTTGAACTGTGTCTCCATTCTCTTGGAACATTCGACTTTTCTATGTTGAAAGTTGACTCTTCTTCAGAATTAGTCGGTTTTGAGAAAGTGTCATAGTCGACTACTGTTGGTTCTTGGCTAGTTGAAGAGGTATGAGATATAGGTTCTTCTTCCTGAAAAATTGAATCTATAGCCTGCAATCTTGGATTAGTTTCATAAAAAACAACATGAACAGATTCTTCAACACTTAGAGTTCGCTTATTAAAAACTCTAAAAGCTCGACTAGAAGGGGAATATCCTAAGAATATTCCTTCATCACTTCGAGGGTCGAACTTACCAAGATTATTCTTACCGTTGTTGTGAATGTAGCATTTGCATCCGAAAGGGTGAAAGTAACTAATGTTAGGCTTCTTACCTTTCCATAGCTCGTAAGGGGTCTTTTTCAGGATAGGTCTGATCAAGCATCTGTTTAAGATATGACATGCAGTACTTACGGCTTCTGCCCAGAAGTGATCTGGTAGACTTCGATCGAGAAGCATAGTTCTGGCTGTATCCTGGAGAGATCGATTCTTTCGTTCCACTACACCATTTTGTTG